TACCATGCCTTGCTTGTTATTTAGAAATTATTTCACTGAACTCTTACTAGGGTTCAGGGGCTGCGCTGGCAGTTTGGCATTTTTTTTTTTTTTTTTAGACGGAGTCTAGCTCTGTTGCCAGGCTGGAGTGCAGTGGCAGGATCTCGACTCACTGCAACCTCTGCCTACCGGGTTCAAGCGATTCTCATGCCTTAGCCTCCTGAGTAGCTGGGATTACAGTCACGTGCTGCCACACCCAGCTAATTTTTGTATTTTGAGTAGAGACGGGGTTTCACCATGTAGGCCAGCATGGTCTCGATCTCCTGACCTTGTGAGCCCCACACCTTTGCCTCCCAAAGTGCTGGGATTACAGGTGTGAGCCACCACGCCTGGCTGGCTCTTTTTTTTTTTTTTTTTTTCAGATGGAGTCTCTTGCTCTGTTACCCAGGCTGGGGTGCAGTGGCGCGATCTCGGCTCACTGCAACCTCCGCCTCCCAGGTTCATTCGATTCTTGTGCCTCAGTCTCCCAAGTAGCTGGGATTACAGGTGTGAGCCACCACCAGTTGATTTTTGTATTTTTAGTAGGGATGGGGTTTTGCCATGTTGGCCAGGCTGGTTTCAAACTCTTAGCCTCAAGTGGTCCACCCACCTCAGCCTCCCAAAATGCCGAGATTACAGGCGGAAGCCACTGTGCCTGGTTGGTACATTGGCTCTTTACAGGCTCTCTTGCGAGGCAGGGATTATTCCCATTGATGAGATGAGGAAACCGAGGCCCACAGAGGTGATTTGCTGACGTCAAGAGAGGCCCCCGCGCCCTGCCCAGGACCCTTCCTGCCACCTCCTCACCTTCAGCACCAATGGACACCAGCTTAACCCCCTTGCTGGCAATGAAGTCCAGGGCCTTGTTAACGTTGGCGATTTTGTGGAAGCGCATCTTGCCTTTATCTGGCCTGGGCAGCCTCTCTCCTGGGTATAAGAGGAGAGGCCAAGGGCCAAAGGTCATGAGAGGCAGCAGAAGCCATTGTCCGCAAACTCTCCCCTCTCCACCAAGTCCCGTCCAACACTCTGCCACCCTATTCCCCCTGCTGTCCAGATGTTCCTGGGTCCTGGGGCTCAGGTGCACTGATTTGATATCCTCACCTGAAATGACCTCCAGGAGCAGCATGAGTTTGAGGCCATTGCGGAAATCGTCCTCGATGTTCTCAATCTGGGTGCCCGCTTTGCGCAGGTGTGAGTTGCACCAGGCAGTGAAGGTCTGGGGGCAGAGGACAGCACTCAGACCCTACGATCGGCTCTGGGGGATGTGGGGCACAGTCCTGTCTCCTCAGTCAGGGTAGGTCTCAGAGCCTTGTATTTCTGGATTCAAATTGCAGCTCAGCTCAGCCACTGACTTGCTGTGCATCCTAGGCCAGTCCCTTTCCCTCTCTGAGCTTTAGTTTTCCTGAGAGGGGAGAAATGGGGTCTGGGACCCATGCAGGTCCCAGTTCAGACTTGGGGCACCCGGCCACCAGCACTCTAGCCTTGGGGGTCTTAAACACGGGAGGACCCTTAGAAAATGTTAACCCATTCAAAGTGTGGGGCCCTCTGAGGTTTTGAACTACAGGAGCCAGTGCAGGGTGATACTGCCTTTCTGAAATCTGAAAACTCCTGGACTGAAGCACATCTGGCCCTCAGGGTTTTGCCTAAGGGACTGTCTCTGTGTTTCTATTTTTATCAGTTCTGACCTTCTAGGGTTGTTGTAAATTGGCCTCTGAGTAGACCCTAAGTGTGCAAGGACTCTGTGGGCTATTGGAGCATCAGCTGGCACTCAGGCCCAGCCTGATCTCATTTTGTTTTTTTAGAGAGAGACAGGGTCTTACTATGTTGCTCAGGTTTGTCTCAAGCTCCTGGGCTCAAGTGATCCTCCTGCCTTGGCTTCCCAAAGTGTTGGGATTACAGGCATAAGCCACCACATCTGGTCTGATCTCATTTCTGGGGATGACTGCCCACCCCTTCCCCAAGAGTCAGCCTCAGCCTCAGCCTCCATCTGAGATCGGAGGGATGGTACAGGGCTGTGTGTCTGTTGGCGATAGGGGTGACATCACACTTGGTACACAAGTTTCTGCCAACCTACCGCCCTTCAGGTCCTGAATTCTGCCTTTCCATAGACTCCCTGGTAGAGTCAGGGTGGGCTCCAAGTCCAACTGAGCCACTCATGCTCTGTGATCCAGGGTCAGCCCCTTTCCCTCTTTGGGGCTTGGTCTCCCCATTTGTGTAATTAAAGGATCAAAATCTATGATGTCTTAGGTCTTTCTTCTTCCAACCTGGCAGGATTCTTGGATTCAGAGCATCCCCATACCACAAACACTCTTAATGAGAGTCTTTCCTGCCCTAAGGAAGCTCATAGCCCATCCAAGAGTCACGTTGGTCTGAGAAGCGCCGTAAGAGGTTGCCAAGGAGTTTATGGGAGGGAAGTTGGATCAGGGCGGGGGCCTCTTGGGGAAGGCAAGTATTTGATCAGAGTTGTGATGGGCAGGAATCATTCAGGAAGGGAAGGGCAGGCAAGGGCATTTCAGGCAGGGGCAATCATGTGGGCAAGTGCTCACTGGCTGTGAGAAACAGTTGCTACATTTGTCGGACTACAAGGATCTGGGCACTGCTGGAATGCAGCTGGGGTTGTTGGGGTATAAGTGGTGAGAGGCGGGCCGGAGGGGCAGCAGGGGCCAGGTCATGCGCGATCCTGGGTGCTAAGCTGGGGAGTTAAAATTTGATCCAGAGGGCAACAGGGAATCAGGGAAGCCTCAGGCAGGAGGGAGGTGGGCAGAACTGTCCATGCTGGTTGCAGAGTGGAGATGAATGGCTTGGCACGGCAAAAGGGAGAAATGAGGAGGCAGCCACTGGGACCAGGGCAAGAGAGGAAGGGTGTCAGTGAGGGGGACAAGGCAGGATCGGATGGATGAGACAGAAATGTTGGAATGTAAGCTCCCATGGCAGGGGCTTTATTTTGTCTGCTGCCAAATCCCAGCACTTAAAACAGTGCTAGCACATAGTAAGACATCATGTGGGCCAAGGCAGTGTGCTGCTCCAAGACTGTGTGAAGGAAGCCCTTGGATGGAGGAGTCACTGGGGAGGAAGGGAGCACAGAGGAACAGGGAGGCGTCAGGGCTAAAGCTGAGCACGAGGATGTTTATTACCACCTTGCAATAAACAACGCTGGACTAGAAAGAAATGAGCCAAATGTCCAACTACAAGAGATGCTGATTGATATTCAGAGCCTGTATGCTGTGTAGCCGTTGAATGAATGGATGAGATGGTGACTGCAAGTTGGGATGAGCAGATGTTCCTGATAATTTGTTAGGTGACAAAGACAAGTTACAGACTGGCATGTGTCATATGAGGGGCATGCGGACCTGGATCTGGGAGAGGCCCGGGTGGGTGGGGGTAGGGATAGAAGATGTTGCAGAATAGGTGGCAGCTGGAGCCAAGGACAGGGATGACATCACTGGGAAATTGCCGAACCTGGGACTGCAGCTGTGCTTGGAGACAGGTGCAGGGGGAGCCTAAGTGGAAGCCTGTCACCCAGGGCACCCCAGCCGACTCAGCGGAGCCTCTTGGCCCTTGGGGTCATCTCCTGTCATCTAACCCAGTGGAAGTGCTCTGATTCTAAATTCTAGGATTCTCAGATACTGCAAATTCCACCGAGTACCTGAGTACCCTGCCCTTTCCTGGAGTCATACAGTGTTGGCACACACTGAGCAGGGTCCAATGGCCTTATGGTGCCCTCCTGGTTACCGGCCTGCCACTCCCCAAAGTTTTCTCCCTCTGGCCCGGATCATTTTCTCTTTGGGAACCCAGGTGTCCTGCCCCCTCTACTTGGGAAAGTCTGGGAGTGAAAATAACTCAGGGAGGGAGGGGCCCTGAGTGCCTGATGGGCTGGGCCTGGGCAGCAGCTGCCCCTGTGCCCGTCTCCAGCGCCCCCAAGGTGCTGCCTCAGCACTACGTGTCCATCTGGCTGGAGAGTCAGGTTACTGTGTAAGGGGACCCAGGTCTTCCCTCCTCCTCGACCTATGGCCTTTTCAGCAGACTCAGGGCCCCATGCCTGGGGTATCTTGGGAAAGAATGGGGGTGGGGAAAGGGGTAAAGATCCTTAGGTTGCAGAGATCCTGATGTCTGACAGTCTGTGATTTGGGGCCTGTCTGTGCTCCTTTTGGGGCTTCAGTTTCTTCAGTTGTTAAATGAGATACAGCGACTATGGACCCCACCCTGGAGACGAGGTGGGGTGGGGTCTGAGAGGACCCTTCTCAGCACCCCCACACTCCCAAGTCCACTAGTTGCCTGGCTGCAAACCCTTAAGGTGGGGTCTGGGAATATTTAACTAGAGAGTGGTGGGAGAAAGATTCTTCTTTCTGAACCCCCTAACTTGGATCTCCTGGGCTTTGCCCAGCCTGTTTTCACCAGCAGAAGTGAGGCAGTGGGTCCAGGGGACTGAACCCTGGTGGGGTGGGGACCCCAGAAACTCTCTTGTCATTTTAAACCCCTCTTGAGGGCTCCCAGCCCTCTCCTCCAGCCCTGGGGACAGCAGGCAGCTGATGGGCAGAGCCTGGGCTGGGGATTAGCACTCTAGGTTAAAGACAAGCTCTGCCCCTGCCCTGCTGAGATGCCCAGGATAAACCGCCCGGCCTCTCAGGCCTCGGTTTTGCTGTCAGGAAATGGGCGAGCACTCACTTTCCGCTGCTGCTTCTCCCAGGCCGGGTCCAGCAGCAGGTCGCGGTCCCAGTCCTCCTCCTGTTCCATGTACTCGCCGCCCCCGCCGCTGCCCGCGAAGGGCCCCTCCCTGGCCCCCAGACCCTCGGGCTGCATAACCATCATCATCTCGCTCGGGCTCCTGGCTTCGCTCCGCTCGGCGCGCTCTCGGACACCCGGGCCCGGTTAAGTAGGGCCCAGCCCAGCCCCAGATCGAATTCGCACTAAATATGGGGGAGGAGGGAGGGGCCGGATGGGGGTGAAGGAGCTCGGGTTAGACCTGGCAAGGGGTTGTCCTGGAGCCGGAGACTGCGGAACTCGGGGAAGCCGGGGTGGATCTCGCGGCGGAGATCCTGGGTTTGCATTCCCGCTCCGCTACTGGGGCGCTGTGTGACCTTGGGAAATCCACGGGACCTCTCTGAGTCTGTTTCCTCCTCTCCACAATAGAAAGGCCGATAATAATAGTCACCGCGGGCCGCCCTAGAGGCTGCCCTCGAGCTCCTCGTGAGCCTCTTCCAGCACCTCGCTGGTGGGACACGGAGCCCTATCCCCATTTCACAGTCAGGAACACAGAGGCGCCGAACTGTTTTGCATGTTTTCTGGGGTGATGAAGGGAGACACCCGGGCATGGGGAACGGCTCTGAGCCAGCTGGATGGGCTGCGGCAGGGCTATTAATATCGGGGCGGCTAGGGGGAGTAGGGGAGAATGTGCTGAGCCGGGAAACCCCGACACTACCCCGGCTGCAACTCAATCCCCAGGGCACTCCTGGCCCCGCCGCCAGAGGGCGGGGCTCCGGCGGGAGGGGAGGGGCCTCCAGGGTGGGCGGGTCAATCGCGCTGCGAAGTCATCCGGGCTCCAGCGCCGCGGGATTCCAAGCGCCCCACGGCTGGTCCGTCGGTCCAATCAACTCGCCGCGTCGGCCGGCCGTTCCCTTAGGGTCTGAGCCCTCGCCTCACCCCTTCCGAGCTTCTATTGGCCGTGGCAGACGTCCATCTGCCGCTATCTCCGCCCCAATACGGAAGCGGCCTAGTCCTCCGGCTCCGACAGCTGGGTGTCCAGGCCATGGGGCAGCCCTGGGCGGCTGGGAGCGCGGACGGGGCGCCCGCGCGGCTGCCTCTCGTGCTCACCGCGCTGTGGGCCGCGGCCGTGGGTCTGGAGCTGGCTTACGTGCTGGTGCTCGGTCCCGGGCCGCCCCCGCTGGGACCCCTGGCCCGGGCCTTGCAGCTGGCGTTGGCCGCCTTCCAGCTGCTCAACCTGCTGGGCAACGTGGGGCTCTTCCTGCGCTCGGATCCCAGCATCCGGGGCGTGATGCTGGCCGGCCGCGGTCTGGGCCAGGGCTGGGCGTGAGTGGGGTGCGGGATCCGAGGGGAGAAGTGGGCGCCTTGGACAGTGGGGAGGGGCCCCAAGACCTGAGATGGTAGAAGCGGGTTACATTAGGATTCAGGTTGTTAGAGCCAGAAATTTTTTTAGAACCTGGGATGGAAGAGCTATAATTGAGTGTTATTCACTCACAAATACTTATCGGGCACCTACTAGGTGCAAGGTATTGTTACAGGGACGAAGGGTACAATAGAACAGATTCCTGATACGGAGCTAATTTGAGGGGGGCAGATGAGAAACTAGAGGAACAGTAAGTAAGCAAATCATATAGAAGCTAGAAGGTGATACTAGTTTGGAAACAAGAAGTGTAGAGCAGGGTAAAGGGGTTGCAAGTTTCAGTATTGAATAGGTGGTTAGGCCGGGCGCGTTGGCTCACGCCTGTAATCCCAGCACTTTGGGAGGCCGAGGCCGGCGGATCACTTAAGGTCAGAAGTTTACCAGCCTAGCCAACGTGGTGAAACCCTGTCTCTACTAAAAATACAAAAAAATTAGCCGAGCGTGGTGACGCATACCTGTAATCCCAGCTACTTGGGAGGCTGAGGTAAGAGAATTGTTTGAACCTGGGAGGCAGAGGTTGCAGTGAGCTGAGATCCAGCCACTGCACTCCATCCTGAGCGACAGAGCAAGACTCTGTCTCAAATAAATAAATACATAAATACATAAATAAATAGGTGGTAAATTCTCATCACAAAAATATAAGTGTTTGAGGTAATGGCTATCCTAATTAGCTTGATTTATTCCAAGTTGTACTGATAAATGATGACATCACTTGGTATCCCATAAGTATATACAACTGGAATTTGTCAATTTATAATTAGAAAATAAAAATTACACCAAGTAAGGCTCTACACACAAATTTTATGCCAGGCACAGGCTTTCGCCTGTAGTCCCAGCTACCCGAGAAGCTGAGGCTGTAGTGTGCTATGATCACACCTGTGAACAGCCACTACACTCCAGCCTCGGTAATGTAGCAAGACTCTGTCTCTAAAATTTTTTTTAAATTAATTTTTAAAATAATATAAATAAATACAAGGTCAAGATAGACCTCATAGAGAAGGAGGCATTTGAGCAAAAAACTTGGAGGGGGTGGCGGGGGTTAGCCATGTGGGAATCTGAGGGAAGGGTGTTCCAGACAGAGGGAACCAGTGGTGCAAAGGCTCTGAATCAGTTGTGTGCCTAGCATGTATGTTCCCAGAACAGCACGGCCAGTGTGGCTGTAGTGGAGTAAGAGAGGGGAAGAGATGTCACAGATGGAAGGATGTTGTAGGACACTGAAGGCTTTGCTTTTTACTAGAAATAAATTGGAGAACCACAGGAGGGTTTTAAGCAGAGGAGGGTCAGTCTGGTTGCTGGGGTGAGACTGTACGAGGAGGGGCAAAGATGGAATCAGAGACCAGCTGAGAGGCTATTGCAGTAATCCAGAGAGTTCCTGGTGACCTGGACAACGGGGTGACCGTGGAGGAAGGGAGAGATTTGCTGCTAGATGTCAGTGGCTTGAGAGAGGTCTCAGGACTGGGGACGTTAGGGCTGGAAGAGACCTCAGACTTGTAGTGCTAGAACTAGAAGGGCCGGGGACATCTTGTTTATCCTGCATTTACTTGTAAAGAAATTGAGGCTTAGCCAGGGTGAATGGCTGTTGCTGCTTCCTCAGGATGGGCTCTAGGGCTGCCCCGTGCACAGTATGGGGCACCTGAGCTGCTGGGGGAACTGACCCTGTGGTTCCTTCCTGCAGTTACTGCTACCAGTGCCAAAGCCCGGTGCCGCCACGCAGCGGACACTGCTCTGCCTGCCGCGTCTGCATCCTGCGTCGGGACCACCACTGCCGACTGCTGGGCCGCTGCGTGGGCTTCGGCAACTACCGGCCCTTCCTGTGCCTGCTGCTTCATGCCGCCGGCGTCCTGCTCCACATCTCCGTGCTGCTGGGACCTGCACTATCGGCCCTGCTGCGAGCCCACACGCCCCTCCACATGGCTGCCCTCCTCCTGCTTCCCTGGCTCATGCTGCTCACAGGTGGGGAGCCTGGGAGGCCTCTGCACAGAGGCAGGGGCCCTGGTATTGGGCTGGGGAGTACAGCCCATTCTGGTGGGAGACGGGCTTTCTGGCCTGGGGGACCCAGCCCCAGTGTCAGTGATGGCCAGAAAGGGCAGCTTGGTATTCACCCGCGGCGGGGGGCAGTACGGAAACTGGTGCGTTGAGGCAAGTGCAGTGGTCTGGCCAGGGAATCGGGAGATTCCGGGAGTTGCTGAGAAAGGAGAAAGACTTATGGGAGTCCCTGCGTGGCGGGATGTGGAAGCGCATTCTAGGGGCATTTCTAAATGAGAGAAGCAGTAGGAACAAAGGCTTGGAGGGTGGGCAGGGGATTGTGAGAATTAAGGCCAGATTGGTAGGGAGGCCTGGCGGGCGGGGTCCTGAGAACTGGTGTGAGGAGATGGCTCTTATTTGACTGGATAGTGGGAAGCCAGTGAAAGTGACAGGCAGGGGAAGGCCCAGTTATGGGAAGCTGGGGAGGGCAGACTTGGATCAGCAGGCTGCCTGAGATACCATGTTCTGGACGACACGTATGTCCTCTTCCCCCAACACATCTACAGGTAGAAGCCTTGCTGGTCCTTTTTACTCTTTGTTCTCTACCCCCAGAATGCTTTGGCCTTTCTCGCCCCCATTCCTCCCTCCTGACCTTTTCATGGTTCCCTCTAGCACTTTGATCTACAGTGAGGAACCTCTCCGGCTACTCCGAGTAGTCACTGAGCCTCCTGATCCTATCCAAGCCCAGCTTTGTGCATGGACCCCACCTGCAGCCCAGGGGAGGCCTCTGGCAGTGGCCCACTGGGGTTATCAGAGTCTTCACCTGCCCACACCAGCTTCCCAACAGGTCCTCCTCTGCCCTCCTCAATGATCCCTCCCTCCATGAGTCCCAGCCCTCCAGCCGCACTGCCCTACCTCCTTGTGGTCAACACTCACTCCCCTCAGTCACGGAAGACTCTGGCTCCAGTCACAGACTCTCTCTCAGCCCTGGGCCCTGTGGAAATCAAGGGTGTCTGGAAGTTTGCATGAACAGCCCCCTCAATGCCTGGATGGCTTAGCTCTTGGCCTCCTCCTTCATTTTTCTTTCCTTCGCCTCCTCCCATGTCCACACCCCAGTCCTGGTAAGAGTCCAAAAATGAGTCACCCCTGAAACCACCCATCTCCCTCTTTCTGCTCCCCACCTCCTCTCCATCTTTTACTCCTCCAGGCCCTGGCACCTGCTCCATGAGCCCGCAGGCTCGTGGCCCTCACTGCCCGTCTGTGCCTCTCCACCTTCGCCACCGACGTCCAGCTCAGAGCTCATCCTTCCCACCATTCTCCTGCCAGCATCGCAAACTTCCTCCCTCATCTTCCTTCCACAGTGCCTTCCTGGCTTCTCTGTGTCTGCCTCTGGCTGCTGAGAGCCAAAGGCACTGGCAGTCTGTGGCATGTTGGTGCCATGCCATGTTCACAGCTGCTGACCTCAGCAGGACCTCGGCTATGCCTGGCCTTGCTGTTTGCTCGTAAGCTTGCTCCCTGCAGCGACAGCAGCTCAAACCTTCCCTGCTCTCCCACCCTCCTAACTCCGGCACTGAGAAAGTGAGACATCAGCTGGCGCATCCCAAATTGTGTTGTCCTCAAATCCCCGAGCCTGGCTGACTGTTCCCAGCTTCTTGTGTTTGGTGCCTACCTCCCTGCTTGGAGGCCTCAGGCTGTGGCGTCTGCCTCTCCTGCAGGCCAGGCCCCCTCTGCCCTCCCGGTTAGCCACCTTGGACAAACCCTCCCTTGCCCTCATATCCTCCTCCAGCACTTGCCCTGCTCTAAGCTTCCTGAGGGACTTGCCC